CAGTTACTAAGTGACAAAATGAATGGGTAGCAGATACAGAGTAGGTAAGCTAGGCAAAGGGATAATTCAGAGCCAGGTATAGTAGTGTACAATGGTTATCCCAGAGACTCAGGAGGCTGGGGCAGTAGGAGAGCAAATTCAAGGCTAGACTCCATAATTTGTCAATACTGTGTCTCAAATAAATAAATACAAATAAAAGGGGCTAAGGATGTAGCATTGTGGTAGAGTGCTACTGGATTTATTCCCCAGTACTAAAAAAACAAAAAAGTCCCAAAGGGATAATTCACATTCTGATGGGACAGAGCTTGCCAGGGTGAGATTTCATCATGTCATGCAGATGTGCAGTTTAAAACTAGTGACTCTTTTTACTTCTGGGATTTTCCTTTTAAAAATTTCAGACTACTCTTGACTTTAACTAAAATCTTGGAAAGCAATATTACAGACAAGACAAGAATCCTCAGAAATCCCGAAGTCAAAAAATAGCTTGTTCTCTGAAATGAAAACACACACACATTACCTTCTCTTTCCTATGCAACTCTATCAGAAAACATCATTTACTTGGGACCTTAGTATATCACACCACTCTTTATGTTGTTTATGTTGCTTAGATATACACACACGCGCGCGCGCACAAAAGCTATCAGTGTTCCCTACATGTTTCTTTCCTCAAAACATTCATATGTCTATAAATAATAAATTGCACTGAACTTCAAGAAAGAGAGAAAGCAAATAGTCATATATCTATATTTTTCTTTCTTTTTGCATTCTTTTTTGCAAACTGAAGTAATGGAGTCTATATAGTTCCTTGTAAAATACCTTTCACTCATTTTTTTTTGGAGAGAAGGGCATAGAAGGGAGAATAAATGGAGAGGTGTAGCACAAAAGCAAATATGAGAGAAGTAAGAGCAAATGTATGCTTTAGAAATAATCCTACAAATACCATCCTGGGACAAGGCCCAGAGCCCAGGTAGAAGGGACAAAACCCAGGGCCCAGGTGGAAGGTCTCTCCCAGGCTAAAATTGCAAAAATGCACCTCTATTTCTGAAGCTGGTAATTCAGAGGGACTCCCTGCCTCCCAAGTTTTATTCCTCTCTTATTCCAACTTCTGTGTTAGAGGAGGAGTCAACCATTGTGGGACAGTTTTTGCTTTCTCTTCCATGTGTATTTTGGTTGAATCATACCCTGCAAACATGATAAGAACTGACTGCTGGGATCGGAACGTTTTTGTCACCGCTGAATTCAGATATTGAAACTCTAACCCCATGTTAAAGATTTTAGGAGATGGGGCTTTTGGAAGCTGATTGGGCCATTAGGATAGAGTCCCCATGAAAGAGATTAGTGCCCTTATAAAAAGGGCAGGAAGAGCTCCTTCAAACATGTGATGATACAATGAGAAGACAGGATACCAAGAAGCCTGATTAGTCTGAAAATGAAGAGTAAAAGACATAATAAAAGGACAGCAATGAGGAAAGACCTAAGTTCTTCATGAAATCACCTGGTCACTGAATTAATCAACATGCCTTATGTTGGGGGTGAGCTAGTGCATGCCTTTCATTTTAAAATTGGTTGAATTGGCTTCAAATGCATCTGAAAATAAATGGGCCCCTGAATGGCTAGTCCTAGAGAAGGGACCCCCAACTGTGGAAGGGCTTAGAAAGCTTTTAAAGAGCTGGAAATAATAGGAAGAATGAGCCTGTAGGAAGAAAGACAGGACTCCTCTCTTACAGGAGACAGCACAAAAGGAATTTGGTGGTAGTTAATGGCAGTCATGCATGAGGTGTCACTTCTAGGTACTGATTTCTTATGATAGGGCTACTATGCATACTTGAGAGAAGCAGGTGCCAGGAAAGCATTGAATAGCGACTAATTTCAAAGCAGAGCATCAGGGCAGGATGGACAAAGACAGGCCAAGTTGTTCTCCTTGAAAGCTGAAGAACTTCCTTTTGGCTAGGATGCAAAGGCTTCCAGAATTAGAATCTAGTACCCAGCTGCAGTGGGGTGGTACTTTTAGTTTTTCTGACAGTCTGCCCTTCCCAAAGCTGACCACTAGGAGTAGATAGATGATCTGACAGCACTGGCTTAAACTTTTTTCTAAAATTTTTATTTATTTATTTATTTATTTTTAAAGAGAGAGAGAGAGGGATAGAGAGAGAGAGAGAGAATTTTTTAAATATTTATTTATTTTTTCTTAGTTCTCGGCGGACACAACATCTTTGTTTGTATGTGGTGCTGAGGATCGAACCCGGGCCGCACGCACGCCAGGTGAGCGCGCTACTGCTTGAGCCACATCCCCAGCCCTAAAATTTATTTTTTTAAATCTTATTTTTATTATAAGTTTTCTCTTTGAAGTTGAAGCAATTCTTCACCAAGAATTATGCAGAGTTAATCTTAAGAAAAACCATTGACCTTGCAAATGCTTTCTAATTCTTCAGGGAGTATTTTAACTAGAACCAGAATTCACTAGAACCAAAAGGCCCTCCTCCGTAAGATAAAAGAAGTCTCAGTGTAGAAATGTCGGGGAAACAAATAAGAGAACACCTCCAAAATCAAGACTTCTTCTCAGGAGGAAAGAAAAAAATAAAATCTACAAGTAGCACATTTCAAGTACGGAGAGAGAACAAAGTCATTGCAGATGATGAGAAAAAGCCAGAAATCATGGAAATTTTACCCCGAGAATACAAAATTTTTTCTAAGATAAAAGACATTTCTCTTCTGCTTTATCCATTTACATCTCCATAGAATACAACCAAAAACACAGAGAGAAAAGTTGATAAAAGTCTTTATTACTTAATTAGGAAAGTTTAGATATGTTAATTTTCAAGGTTCACATCAGCATTTTTGATGAAATATAAAAACTATTCTCTTTTAATTGGATGCAATTAAAATTGTATAAAAATGTAAAAATTATGGTCTGCCTTACCAGTGTTCTCTAGTCTTCTGATAAATTTCATAGTAATTCTTGAGAATAAACCATTTTGCCCTTTAGAAATATCATAAAATGGAAATGACTTTTAAAGCTTTTAGTTTTCAAACCCCCAACGTTTTTTTTTTTTTTTTTTGTAAAATTCTGTTTTCCCTTTTACAATAGCCAGCCTAAGCTCAATTCTAAAGAACAAAAGCCTAATTTAATTATGTTCATTGAATTCCAGTAAGTAGATTTTCACTGATTTTTTGCTCCCATTTTTCAAAGGTCAGCAATATAAGACAGAGCGATTCCCCTGACACTGGCTAACCCAGGAAATAATTAGGGCCATTTTGTGAATCTTCATTTTAAATTTACGATAGAGATCTAACTTTTACACTAAAGCTTGCTAATCTTACATTTGCTCAGAACCTTCCTAAGCACCTGCAGATAGCTTTATTCTACTTGCAAATTGTAACAAAGATTTTGGCTAAGGTCAGATCACTGTTTGCCACCACCCCACCACCCATAGTCCTTCCCAGCTCCTAAAGCTTGGGTCTTTGAAATGCCCAAAGTGCTTTTTAAAAAACTATTTTTTGAGGGACACAATATTTTTATTTATTTATTTTTATGTGGTACCCAGGGGGATTGAACCCAGTGCCTCACACATGCAAAGCAAGTGCTCTACCACTGAGCTACAACCTCAGTCCCCAAAGTGCTTTTTTAAAGCAGGAACTAGACAAACCAATGGAGATGGATTTCAGAGTATGCAATGTGGTTTACAGAACTTTTTATGAAAGATCCAGGGAAAGCCTTAGAGACAGTGAGATCCCCAGGGCTCTGCTCCTAGTACATACAGTTTTTCCCACACTTTTCACTGAATGAGCATTTATTAAGCACTTTCTTTGTGCACTCACTGTGGCTACAGAACAAATCCCATGACTCCTCATAAGCCTACCAACTTCTGAACCTCATCTTTGACCATCTTTCTTCCTTCTGGACTTACTCATCACCCAGAAAGGTCAGAATACTGGGTACTTTCTGAGTGCCATCTCTCTTATGCCTGCCTTAGCAGCTAGCTTTGTCCTCTGAAATTTATCTGAAATTGCATCTTCCCCTATTACCCTATCAATATTTATTCTTCCACTAGCCCAGTGCTCAAATATTTTCTCCTCAAGGTGTTTTCTGATTGAGTTCTTCCAGCACAGAGTAATCATTCCTTTCCTTCCCCACCTTCTATTTTCCACACCTATTTCCAAGCTCTCAGAGATACACTTGTTCTTACTCACTGTAGTATGTCACTGACACACAAAGAAGCAGGCCCACCTTAGTCAGTGTTGTTCTGCTGGTCTCCTTGGAATGCATCTGGCTCCTTCTTGGTTCTTGTCTCTCTCCAGTAACAGGGACTCTGAGATGAAATGCTATACTCTAGCTTCGTTTACTTAAACAAACAACAACAAGAACAAAAACTCATCTGTTCAGTGTTTTGTTTTTGTGGTTGTTGTTATTGTTGTTGTTTTTACTGAGCTTAAGTTCAGAACTGTTAGATGACTTAAAAACCTGACTTTTGCAGATTTATTATTGAGGAATAAATTGCTATCGTAATAGTGAATGGCATTCTTAAGTGGAAAAATTGAATTTATAGAACAGGTATAGCCTCTTCTTTGTGACATCCTGAGCTCCTTAGAAATTTCTCCCTTCCTGGGGTTAATGCATACCATTTCTCCTCCTGAAATGGGTGTAATTTAGTTTTGACTCTAATCCCTATCTCATTTGGAAAGGGTTGTTTTTTATGTATGTTTGTGTCTCTTGAACTTCACCTAGGGAATGAGGCAGCATTTTTTACCGATTACCTCCTCTTTGATGGATTGAGGCTGCAAAACTTGGTCTGCCACTGAAGGGCAGTTTAAATAATACATTAGATATGTTCTCATGTAATTATTTTAAAGCAAACATTCCCAAGGGGTACAGTGAACCTATAGCCTCTTAGGTCATAGAGACCAGTTTCAACACACTCCTCATCTCTGGAGATAGTCGGGTGGAAAAGTTTCTCTACAATTCCAAAATGATCAAATTTCAAGGAGGAAAACAGAAACTTTATTTGATTTCTAATTTGGTCTACCCATAATGTGATGAGTAAATATTTTCATTCAAGCACAATAACATATTTTTGACCCTGTTTTTCAGATGAGAAAATAAGGAGCCTGAGAGGTGCCTACTCAGGATCTTACAGCTTCTCAGGTGTGGAACTGGCTTTTCAGCTGATGCAGCATCCATGATTCCGACTACCTCGGATGTGAACTTGAACCATGTCTGACCTTTTGGAGGTGAGTACTGCCCCTGCATGTGCAGTAATTCAGACATTTGACTTGCAGCCTGAGGTTTATGTGAATACAAGCAGGGTCACCATCAATGCCATAATTTTGCCTGTTTCTTTCACATCCCTACCCTCACTCTAGGACAGCTGATTTCTATATTACCAAAAAGACACTTTAATTTAACACACAGCAGAAATGTGAAGTTCAGGGAGATTTTTCTCCTTACTTTAGCTGAGTAAGCCAGTAGTATGTTGGTTTAATCAACTCAAATGAGAAAACAATTGGTGTCTTTCAGAGTGGTTACTCTCAAAAGCATTGCATTAAAAAACAAGACTAAACTTGGGAATCTTTTATTACATTTCATTTTAAAATACTTTCCTTAATATTATCCACATAAAAAAAATTATCATAGGGAAATCCTTGAAATCTCTTGAGATTTCTTTCCTCCCACTGATATACTAGGCTCTTTAAAAGATAGTTTTGGGGGACTGGAGTTGTGATTCAGTGATAGAGCGCTCACCTAGTACATGCAAGGCCCTGGGTTTGATCCTCAGCACTACATATAAGTAAAGGTATTGCATGTAACTACAACTATATAATAAATAAACATTTTTTAAAAGACAGTTTTTCCACTAGACTTTAGCCATCAGAATTTAATTTATATTAAATACACTGCATAAGCAAAAAGAATTTGCCAGACATTTCAGATAGTAAAATGACTTTCTAAAACTGAGGAAATTACAATTTTTTAAATAAAATGCTTGTAATCATCATGTAATTCACATGGGAATGTTAAACAGGAATCTCTTGAGAGGCTGTCCTTAGTCTCCAGGGGCCAGAAGTTAACTTCCTTTTCCTGCAGAAAGGGTGGCATCCAAGTACAAGAAATCATCTGTTGACATTCCCCCTACAGATTGGGGATTTTTTTTTCAGTTACCTTGAAACCTTGAAAATGTTTTTATCTAAACAAGGAGTCAATACACTTGTTTCCATCGCAGCAGCTCAGAGAAAAGGAATGATGGCTGATGGTGTTCCTGGAGAAAATATCTCAATAGGGCCTCTACACTGACGAAGAATCATACAGCATTTCGTTCATTGCAGAGATTTGCCCAATATCCATTAGTAGAAACAACAATGAGAGGAAGTTTAAGTTGAGCCAGGAAATGTACACATCTATATAGCATTTCTCAAACTGTGATCACTAGTCATCCAGCTTCAGAATAGTACTAATATAAATTACTGAGTTCTAGAATCAGAAGCCCAGATGAATCCAAGTAACTAAGTATGGAATCAGAAATGTGCATGAACTCCTAAGGTGGTGCATCTTGCACTCAGTAGAGTTTGCAACCCACCATACTCAGTACCAGCAATGATAGAAAGGGACTTCGAGACCATCAATGAGAGTACAGCACAGGCTAAGGATTCCAGCATGAATGGGCAGAGTTGGACCCCAGGTGCTGCATGGGTGCCTTTTTTGTTCAGAGATGATGCCTGTTTAACAAGTTATTGGCAAGAGTTGGTAGACAGTGAAGAGATGAGTGTACACAGTGGAGAGAAAAGACCAATGACAGGACAATTTTGGAGGAAGGAAGAGAGAAAGCAAGGTGGTGCCATGAGTCTGGAGCAGCAGGGAGCTTCCTCTGCCTGGGGAAGCATAGGCAGGAAGAACAGGGAACATGGATGCTAGGTAAGTGGCAATTGGTTGGAGTTCCATGACTTCTGCTCCTCAAATTAGAGACAAGACCATCTATTGAAAGAAGTAAAAAATGGATGCTTTACAGAAAGAAAGCTAACTATAGAGGATGCCACCATGACTCTGAACACTGACCCAGTGTTCAGAATCATATGTCACTAAACACTGACCCAGTGGTCTCCTGGACAGAACACTGGATATGGCTCTGGAGACTGAAGAAGTTGGTGGTCCAGTTTTCCACTTGAAGACTTTTCAGTTTAGTTGAGAAAATAGAAAATGAAAAAAATAGTAAATAAAGACTGATGCCTGACCACTTATACTTGATCCTCGTTGAGTAGAATTGTCAGTAAATAAGTAAGGACAATGATGTGATTAAGAGCCTTTTTTGGTGGCCTCAGTTTCTGGGGATTTTATTACATATTTTCATCAGACTCAGAGTCAAAGAATGATGTATTTGAAGGATCTTAACTGGCTGAAGCCGTTTTATTGACAATTGTTCTCATTGGTGTTACAAAAGAATATTTCTGTTAAGTAAATCAAAAACATTAAATCACAATGTTTCAGGAATGTCTTAATGCATCTTACAGAGCACAAGAACCACTATCAATCCTTTGAAGGCTTTCACATCAAATTTCAATGGGGCAAATTACATGATAAGAAGATTCTCCCAACTCCCTAGTGTGCCTGATGGCAATTTTGGATGAAAAAGTGAAATACAAACAAATAACAAGGCGAGTTCAGTAAGCCCTAGTAGACAATTAAGGGCAAAAACCAATCACATGTTTAAGGAAGTCCAGGATGAAAAATGACCCTATTACTTCTACATCCATGCTGTGCACCTGATGACCAACTTTAATTAAAAACAGACACAATCATATTTTTCAAGAATGTAATGAATCCTTGGTAACTAAAAGTTTACAGAGACAAGAGAAATGAATTGAGGAAAAAATACAATCTATTGTCAAGTAAAACCTTGTCTGTGTTTATGCTCTACTGAGTCTTCCTGAGTGAGGAAAAGGAAAAAAAATACGGAAGTAATATATATTTTATACATGTATATATAATACATATAAAATGAAAATCAAGGGCAAAAATCAGATGATTGATCAGGAAGGAAACAGGTACATGTAACTTGAGGATTCCTTACTGAATCCTCAATTCTGCTAAAATAAGCAGCATGCAAGAGGATGTTCTTTCATGTAGTGGAAAAGGCAAAGAATTTCTCGTTGGATCCTGCTTCTTCTGTTTACTTCAGTAATATTGACTAAGGTGCTACCTGCCTTTCCTTTAAATGGAAACTTCCTGCCCCTTCCTCCCTCCCCACTGCCCCCTGCTTAGTTGATGCCTTTTGTCTTTGGCAGTGACCTAAACCTGCACATCCCTCTGCAAGCCCTGGTGCTCCTGCATGATCTGCAGATTTCTTTCCCTGCCTAGCTCCCTACCAGAGTAATCTTGGATGTGTTTTATTTTTTTTTTCCCATCGTCATTAACAACCCCTTAGTCATTAAATCCAAAGGATATATTTTCATTTTTGCTTTGTTTATTAGCTCCATTTCCTTGGCAGTGTTGATGAAACCCCTGTCCTCCTTGCTCTCCTAGATTTCATGAAAACAAGTTTTATTGGCTTTCCTTTTGCTGTGGTTCTTCTCCATCTCTTCTCGCTTGATCTTCACAAAGTTTCTGGCCTCCGCTGTCTTCTTCATGCTGAGGTTTCCTACATCTCCTCCACACAGATCTCTCCTAAATGTTTGGTCAAGGTACACTAGTATGGCAGTATGTAAAAAAGTGGATGTGTAACCAGTGTGAATCTGCAATATGTATACGGGGTAAAAATGGGAGTTCATAATCTGCTTGAATCAAATGTATGAAATATGATATGTCACGAGCTTTGCAATGTTTTGGACAACTAATAATAATAATTAAAAAAAAAAAAGGTATTCTGCAAGGTCCTAGACTCACCCTGTCTGAAAATAACCCCAAACCTCCTACACTCCACTCCCTCTCACTCACTCCTTCTGCTTCTACTATTACTTAGGCTTCAGAAAACATTCACTGAGAGCTGGCCCTGTGCCTGCTACCAGGCACTATTGCTGCCCTTACTTTCTGGAAAAAAATCGGATCCCTAATGCCTCTTGACTCTACCTTCTCAACACCTCTCCCTAAAGTTATAATTCCAGCTCTTACCACTTTTCACATGGATTTAAATTTAGATTTCTAACTTGTCATTTCAAAACCTCCTTCTTCAAGACACAGAGCTAAGTAAAAGGCGAAGCCAATCTTGTGGTCTTAATTAAAACACCTCCCTGGGCAATAAAAAACATACACAGCATTCAAACAGAACAAGTTTCTGTTACTCCTGTGCATGGGCGACTATTTGTTTTAAAATATCTATAGATAATTTGTGATTAGAATGTAACGTGCGTTTACACATGAACCTCAACTTTATTAACCCAAAATAGTTCATTATATATGTTTTTTAAATTATTGTAAATTAAAAGAACAATTATTGCCTATAAATCATTTTTTTTTTGGTTTTTAAAAAGTGAATGAGAAACTCTGGAGTAATGAGAAATTTACAAATTCATTAACAGAGCCACTTCTTACTTGTGCATTAATATGCCATCCTCATGTCATACCTTCCATCCAAACACACCAACTCTCCAGAGCTTCCCCAGTATGCTGAGTCCTTCTTGAGGGAGGTGTAAGTCCTTTGTCTTCCTTGGAGCATCTCACCCACTCCTTTTCTCCCCAATGAAGAAAGCCTGTTCTGTTCACATGGATGCAGGGATCTCTTCATCCTGGTGCAGAGGGCCATGGTGGTCTATATCCCATGCCCCTTAGCCCAGGATGAGCCCATACTAGGCAAAGGTCCCTCTCTGTAAGCTAACTGGCACAAGTGGGGGTGTTTGAAGCTAAGTGGGGGTTTTTGTAGCTCTCTAATAGGATTAGAGGACTTGATGAATCTCCTCTGGAATAAAATTAAAAAGCCTCACAAGGGCAAATGTTGTCACTTCCCCACATTTATCTTTCCCTTTATTCTATGAACGCAGTTTTGATGATAACACTCTAGCAGATCCCTGTCACTGATCTTCCTCCAATGTTCAGATTACTGCTGGCTTTGAACTTAAATTACAAAAAAAGCCCTGTTAGTTGGAGTTTATTTCATTTTCATCCAATTAAATCCAAACTAATATATTCCTCATGCCTGCTCACCATTACAAACATTTCCAGTATTGATCCCACCCTTCCTCACAGGCTAAACCATTCCTGTCATTTCAGAATCGGGCAAGTCAGCACAATCTCTCTGAAGCCTGTCCTATGTACCACAGCACTTCATACAGTGAGTTCTACAAGTCTGTTAACTTGTCCGTCCCTCCCAACTGACCATTATGTTTAGTAACTCTGATGTTTATACTTGTGTGTGTGTGTGTGTGTTTAATGAATTGATCTCTTTAAACCAGTAATAACATAAGAGCTAGACAACAAGGCCTCTATCCTCATCACCTTGATTTAGAGAACAAATTCTGACTTTCCTTCAATTCACTCCACCCCCAAAGAGAAGAGGGAGTCCCTTAGATTGAGGGTGTGTGCCCACTCTGACTACAAATTCATCTTCTAGACCATATAGAAGAACTGGCTACCCTAGAATTCATTGTGGCACCAGGTGGGTTTCTTCCCAGGTTGAACTTGTAATACCCAGGGAATACTAATTGTGTGTTCCTGTGATAGAAGGGGCGGGAGGCAGCAGAGCTAAGCGGGAAGGATCTGAATAAAGCCTGAACACATGGGTGGGGTTGTCTAGGTAGACAGGTGTGAAGTGAAGCTCCTTGGAGAGAGACAAAGCAATGGCAAGAAAAAGAAGTTCAGTGCTGCGTTCCCTCACAGAATAGCACTTTCAGACAGCCCCACTTCCAAGTCGTGGTGGTTTACTTCATACTAAAGTGAACCTTGAGCTGCATGCTCATCATTGCCCATAAATGTGAGGAGTGCACATTGCTTGAAATTGTTACTGCATGCGTATGCGCGTGCACGTGTGTGTATTTAAATGAGCAAACAAATGAATGAATGAAGCTAAATATGAAATATATACCTACGCTAAAGCTAATTTGAAAAATACAGAGTGCCTAAGTTTGTATGTGTGTGGGGGGGCGTGTGGGTATGTGTGTGTGCGACTGTCTCTGGGTGTTTCTGTGTGTATGTACGCTTCAGTGCTTACCTGTGTGTTATGGTTAGATATGAGGTGTCACCCAAAAGCTCATGTCTGAGACAAAACAAAAAAAAAGTTTAAAGGAGAAATGATTGGGTTATGAGAGCCTTAATATAATCAGTTATTAATCACTTGATAGGGATTAAGTGGGTGGATTGTAGGCAGGTAGACTATGGCTGCAGAAGGTGGGTCATTGAGGCATGCCTTTGGGGAATATATATATATATATATATATATATATTTTATCTTGAAAAGAGCTCTCTCTTTGCTTCTTGGTGCCAGGTCCCCAGCTGCTTTCCTCTGCCACACTCCCCTGCCATGATGGCCCACCTTGCCTCAGGCCCAGAGCTATAGAGTGGGCCATCTGTGGCTGAGACCTCTCCTCTGAAATCTTGAGCTGCCAAATAAACTTATCTTCCTCAAAAATTTTTTCATAATGTCTTTTGGGCCACAGCATGATAAAAGATGACTAAAACACTCTGTATGTGTTTGAGTGAATATATTTTCATGTTTGTGTATGTAAGTATATGTCTGTTCACATGTGAGTGGATGTGTGATTGTGTGTGCACATGTGTGGTGAATGAAGAGTTACAGAACTTTCAGCCCTGGCACATGCACTCTCGAGTGGAGGACGGGCATTCAAAATAACCACAAGATGGGCTGGTGCTGTAGCTCAGTGGCACAGTGCTTGCCCAGCATGTGTGAAGCACTGCATTCAATCCTTGGCACCACATAAAGATAAACAAATAAAATAAAGGCATTCTCTCTATCTACAACTACAAAACAAATTTACAAAAACAATTAGAAGAATAATATAATGGCAGGTGTGATAACTGCCACAAAGAAAAGTGAAAAGAGGTTACAAAGGGAAAATCTACTGAAGGATGGATGAGTGGGGAAAGCAGTGAAGAGGCCCAGACAGAAGGGAGAGGAGCATCTTGGAACCAGTGAGGCCCCACCTGGATGGGAAAGCAGTGCTAGAGTGGGGAAGAGTCCAGACCACCTGGAGCCACTTGTCTATGCCCAAAGGAGGACTTTTTTTATAGGGCAAGTGCTGCAGGAAGCTCTTGAAGGTTTTAAGTAATGTCCTTGTTTCTTTTAAAATATCTACCAAGATTCCACTCAAGGGATATTAAAATTATATAATCATAATAGAACCAGGGTTGGAGATATAGCTCAGTTGGTAGAGTGCTTGCCTCACATGCACAAGGCCCTGGGTGCAATCCCTAGCAACACACACACACACACACACACACAAAAAAAAAAATAGATCCAAAAGTAAAAGCATGGACTTGAGAGCAGAATAAATATATTAAAGAAAATGTGTGTGTGTGTGTGTGTGTGTGTGTGTGTGTGTGTGTGTGTTTGGGGGGGAGTTGGCTAGATTGTTAAAAACAATAGGCCAAAATAAACTACCATTTAAGGTATCAAAAGTTAACTGAAGGAAACTTATGAAAGTCATGATGATGTGGAGCAAGTTGTCCATTGGACCCATCTATACCCTCATGCAGAGAGTGCTAGCAGAGGAGGTCTTTCCTGCTAGGTGGCACCCCTAAAATGATATCATACAGTAGCAGAAAAGTAATGGACAAAGTGCAAGATAGCACTTGGACATCTGCCCTGGCTAGGAGCACATTCTCTTGCCAGTGCTCAGCAACCCAAAAGACAAGTCTACAGGCAAATGAAAGGTGATTTGTGGAGGGGATTTTGCATCATAAAACCTGGTTTAGAAGTCTAGTGCTGGATCCTCCCTGCTCCTTCAAGGCACCAGGTACTGAGCTCTTTCTCTCCCCATGTTTTGTTATCCTTAGTCAGGGATTCTTCTCCCTCCCATTCTCCTCCCAGCTTGATGCATCTCCTAGACATCATGAAAGAGAAGGGTAAAAAGGAACATAGAAAACTTATCACCTCCCTCACCTGGAGACTCTCCCCTCCAGGGGGCTCAACCCAGGGATAGCAGAGGCCAGAGGTTTTACTCCCAGGAGTGCAGCCTTTTCTTGATTCCATGCCCTATGAGTGACCTTGTAAACTACTTAATCTCGAAACTTGGATTCTCACAGATACACCTACAGACAGTGGGTTGCTTGATGAATATTTACTCTTATTCTTTACACATAAATCAAATTCCATGACTTGAAAAATATTTGCTTCTCACTACCCTGTGGCTCAGTGACCCAGAGGGGGGCCCACCCCACTGCCCCCTATCCAGCAACCTAGAGAGGTTCCTGGCCTGTGATGGGGTTTCTTATTCACCAGAGAATGGCACCACAGCTCAAAACCAGGGTACATATAGGCTTGCGGCTGCCACAGCCACGAAACTGGCGTACCACTGCTTCTATCAAGAGACAACAATAAGGACCTGGCAAAATGTCACCAAGGTCCCTGTGGGCATGGCTTCACCAGAGATATCTCTACCAGGGGTGCTAGCAGTTATCCTGTTACAGAGGTAACAGGGAATCTTGCATGGTGTTGCCTCTCTCTTGTTTCTCCTACTGACAGCCAATGTCTTATGATTACCCTCTCACTAGTCATATAATCTAATATCTCCATATGCTCACATCCTACCTTATAAATGTCTCAGCCAACCCCCAGACCCTCTTCTGCCATTAGAAACTGTAAACCATTATGCAAACCTATTGACTGTATGGTAGAAGATAACCAAACTCATCATTTCTAATTATAACAACAAAAATGTAAATGTAAAAATAGAAGCTAACTGATCTATGGCTGCATGTTGGGTACATAGAGTGCTGTTATATTGATCTCTTCTTTAAAGGTGAGGTATTGGTAACCTGCAGGGACACTATAAGACAATAGGGAGAAGCTATAATACCTCAGATGTACACTGCAAGAAAGGAAGACACATAGACATCATGAAAAAAACAAGGGAGGAAAGTGCCCCAAACAAATTAAGATACTACAACATTAGAATCCATAGATAGTGCAGTACATGAAATGTCAGAGAAGAAGTTCATAATATACAAAACTAAAATGATTTGGGAATTAAAGAATGAGATAAGTGAGCAGATACAGGCAAAAATTGATCACTCCAACAAAGAGATAAGAGAACAAATACAGGTGTCCATCAATCACACCAACAAAGAGAAAAGAGAGCAAATACAGGTTGCAAGAGATTACTTCAAGAAGGAGATAGAGATACTGAAAAAAAAAAAGAAATCCTTGAAATGAAAGAAACAAGAAGCCAATTAAAAACCTCAATAGAAAGCATCACCAACAGACTAGATCACTTGGAATACAGGACCTCAGACAATGAAGACAAAATATACAATCTTGAAAATAAAGTTGACCTCACAGTGAAGATGGTAAGAAACCATGAACAGAATATCTAAGAATTATGGGATAACATCAAAAAGACCAAATTTAAGATTTATTGGGATAGAGAAAGTTTTGAGATTCAAACCAAAGGAATGCACAATCTCTTCAATTAAATAATATCAAAATTTCCCAAGAATGAAGAATGAGTTGGAAAATCAATTACAAGAGGCCTATAGGACACCAAATGTACAAAATTACAACAGATCTACACCAAGACACATTATAATGAAAATGCCTAGCATACAGAATAAGAATAGAATTTTAAAGAGTGCAAGTGAGAAAAATCAGATTACATATAAGGGAAGACCAATTTGGATATCAGCACATTTTTCAACCCATACCCTCAAAGCCAGGAGATCATGGAACAAAACATACCAAGCTCTTAGAGAAAATGGATGCCAACCAAGAATCTTATATCCAGCAAAATTAAGCTTCAGATTTGAAGATGAAATAAAAACCTTGCATCATAAGCAAAAGCTAAAAGAATTTACAGCAAGAAAGCCTGCACTACAGAACATCTTTGGCAAAATAGTCCATGAGGAGGAAATGAAAAACAACAATGAAATCTGCAAAGGGAAGAAATGCAATAAAGGAAAAGCCAATCAAAGGAGAAACCAAGTCAAGTTAAATACTAAAAATAAACAAAAATAACTGGAAATACAAATCATGTCTCAATGATAACCCTGAATGTTAATAGCCTAAACTCAGCAATCAAAAGACATAGAATGGTATATTGGATTTAAAAATAAAATAAAAAAAGACCCAACAATATGCTGTATTCAAGAGACTCATCTCATAGGAAAAGATGCCCACAGACTAAAGATGAAAGGTTAGGATAAAATATACCATTCACACAGTCTGTGTAAACAAGAAGGGGTTTCTAGCCCATATCAAATAAAATAGACTTCAAGCCAAAGTTAATCAAAAGGGATAAAGATGAACATTTCATACTGCTTAAGGTAAGCATACATCAACAAGACATAACAGTTATAAATATATATACCACAAACAATGCAGCATCCACATTCATCAATCAAATTTGTCTCAAGTTCAAGAGTCAAATAGACCATTACATAATAATTCTGGGTGACTTTAACACACCTCTTCCACCACTGGTTAGATCTTTCAAACAAAAGCTAATCAAAGAAACTATAGAACTCAATAATACAGTCAATAACTTAGACTTAACTGACACATATAGAATGTTTTATCAACAAGCAAATATACTTTCTTCTCAGTAGCATATGAATCCTTCTCTAAAAGAGACCATATATTATGCCACAAAGCAACTCTTAGTAAATACAAAAAAGTAAAGATACTACCCTGCATTCTATCAGACCACAATGGAATGAAATTAGAAATCAATGATAAAATAAAAAATAAAAACTACTCCAACACTGGAGACTAAATAATATGCTATTGAATGAATAATGGGTTGCAAAATATATCAAGGAGGGAGTTAAAAAATTCCTAGAGGTAAATGAAAACACCGATACAACATATAAAAATATCTGGGATACTATGAAGGCAGTTCTAAGAGGAAAGTGGATTGCATGGAGTTCATTCCTCCAAAGAAGAAAAAGTCAATAAATGACCTAACATTACATCTCAGATCCCTAGAAATAGAAGAACAAATCAACCTCAAAAGCAGTAAAAGAAAGGAAATAATTAAACTCAGAGACGAAATTAAAACAAAAGAAACAATTGAAAAAAATCGACAAAACAAAAAGTTTGTTCTTTGAATAAATAAATAAAATTGATAAACCATTAGCCATGCTAATGAAGAGAAGGAGAGAGAAAACTCAAATTACTAACATGCACAATGAAAAAGGAAATATCATTATAAGACATAACAGTTATAAATATATATGCTTCACTACAGAAATACAGAAAATAATTAGAAATTATTTTGAAAATTTGTACTCCAATAAAATAGAAAATATTGAAGTCATCAACACATTTCTAGAGGCATATGATATTCCCAAAGTAAATCAGGATGATAGACACAATTTAAATAGATCAATTTCAAGCAAGGAAATAGTGGAGACCATAAGAAGCCTACCAAGCAAGAAAAGTTCAGGACCAGATGGATACACAGCT